TGTGTTTTGTTTGGATTCGTGTAATTCGGTCATCTCGAAATACTAATATTCCGACTACAATAAATTACTATAGTAGCACTGACTGATTTCACATTGGAGTTGAAAATCCAGATGTTATTTTTGATACTGATTGGGGCTGTTTACCTCCACACAGACTTGAGAGTAATGAAAGCTTGTCTTACTTTCCCAATTCTGGATTCGATATCCTCGTCAGTTCCGTCTGCCTGTTGTTGAAACGATGCTTCCTAGGTGGGTGGTTACGTATAGGAGGTTGTTTCTTTCAGGTTCCTCCCATTTATGCTGGCTGATTGTTGTCTTTTGTTGGTGGTGTTGCTGTTGGTGTTGGCCAGGAATCTTCATCACCTCTGTTTTATCTATGTTCACTTGAAGTCCTATCTTCTTTGGATGCTTCTTCTGCCAGCTTGTTGCTTTTTACTTGCATATCTTCCAGTTTGTAGGAAATCAGACATATATCATCGGCGAAGTCCAGATCCTCTTAGTTTTTTGTGTGAGTTCATTTTACGCCTGTTTCTTCGTTTCCCGGAGTCTGTCGCATTTTCCAATCTCGCGTAGACAAAAAAACAAATTAATTCATTGTTTAACATCATACGAGTGACTGATGATCATCCCTCAGGTAATACCATCAGCTGTCATTCCATGAAAACTAACAATTTTATTTGAAGTAATAATTCCACATCAGTCTCATAAAGCTAATTTGTCTCAGAAGTTCTCAAAAGATTGCAAAATGCCACCAAATTTTCAACTCCACTTTTGTAATTCTCTGCTACTATAAGTATAAAAACTGAATTTTAACTTCACTTAAAATACTTGATCCCAAGGCTGAGTATTTTTTTGGCTTAATGGTGTTATGCATCAATAAATCGCAACGTTAGTGTACGTCATAAAGCGTGAAGAAATAGTTGAATTAGAGTGCATCACATGGGAATCGGATTTCATCTCGTGACACATTTCAGTACCAAAATACAATTAAGTATAAACTATTATCCACTGACCAATCTTTTGAAATACTAAAATAGCTAAATATTGGCCCGACAAACTGCAAGTTTTGTTCCAGACGCTGAGTGTTTAAGTTTTGTTCCAATTAGTATTAATCCAAGTAGAGTCAGACGCCATATTTACGCCTTATTTTTACGAACTATCACGTACCGTCTCGGAATCTCTAGTGTAGTCCTTACAAACCAGAAAGTCAAAACAATTTTCCTTAAAGGAATCTATTACCTTTAATCCATGCGAAAATATAGTCCTCGATAACATACTACTGAATTACTCAGCCTTTTATTTTTGTTTCTTTCGGACAGAAATTTAGCTCAAGTAAACTACTGGTTAACTAGGTACTGATGTACGTTAAATTCTGGTTAACTAGGTACTGATGTACGTTAAATTCTATGGGACTGCGAATCAACAGTACATTAGGCGAAGTTAAAGAATAGCGATCCAAAGGAATGAGTTCACCAGTAACTAAATTAATTATATTTAGATTTCAACAGTTGTTTATACAAGCTAATATGTTTTTTTACTTTGGTGATATTACTATTAAAATTACTACTCATGATCCCACCAACTGTTGGAGTTGCTTTTTAGTTTAAACATATATAATCTGTGTTCAATGGCAGTGTGCGCCGGTGGGACAGTTGTTAAGACGCTAGCCGACCATGCAAGTGGTCCGGGGATTTGATACCCTGCCGACGCATGGTTAACCATACAATGACATGAGCGTGTTGCCGTTCAGATTTGAGGATATAGCTGATAGAAGGAAGTCAGCAAATGAACTATGCGACGATTTTCCAACCTAGGGCGTCAACCTGAGAAGGGTTGTAGGCGTACTGCTGTAAGTCCTACAATTCTTCAAAGGGTAGCGCATCAATGAGCAGTCCAATGTGCATGGTGTGTGATTTTGTGCATATGTTCATATTGTATATATGTAGTAATTTATTGTAATAGGAATATTAGTATTTCGAGATGACCGAATTACACGAATCCAAACAAAACACAGAGAGGGCAGAATCAGGAATTTGTATTTAGCGGAATTATTATGCAATTCATATATGAAACATATCAACAGTCAACAGTAAGTATTTAAACAATACAGAGATAGAAATTGTCAATCACCACATCCGCCACACCTCGAATATCTCCTCGCGTATTTATAACGATGTCTCGGTTTGCTTGCAAGTAGCTTCGACCTAACTGATTCTGTGATATTATTTTCATCAGTATTATCTGGACCTATTTCTGAATTATCTACAAAATCAGGATTATTAGCGGAATCAATAATATTATAATTGGAACGACCTACTTCATTTATTGTCACTTTGTCCAGGTGTCCGTTATGAACTGAGTGATCTTTGATGTCTAATATCTTCACCACTCGATTTCCCATTTTTTGTAGTATAATTCCAACAGAAGGTCTATAGTTATTATCTTTGTAATAATGTACATTAGAAGTCGTGGACATCAGATGCTTTTTGAGAATTCGAGATTTGAAAAGTTTTGCAGGACTTTCACGGGTACTTGTATGCTCTGCATTCGACAGACGCAGTCTATGCATATGCAGTAATTCCTCAATTTTAATCAGTTGCTCTCTCATCTCATTCAGGTCTTTTCGTGTTTTCGACAGTTCACATTGTAACTCAGCTACCTCATTTTTGAAAACAGTTGACACTTGAGTTGCCGAACTTGTAGTGGAGGTTTTCATTGGATTAGCTTGAGTATTTTGAAAGGTTGAAAGACACATTGACTCCATTTTACTAGACAGCTTGGGAGAATTATAAGAATGTTGAGCAACATAAGTATTCGAACTTCTGCAAACCGTCTTGATGTGTCCAACTTTACCACATTTGTGACACTTAGCACCCCGAAAACGGCAAGTGCTTCGTAGATGTAACTTTCCACAGGAAAAACACGGTTTAATGTTTTTGATCTCTCGCTGCATTCTATTACCTGTGGACGGCAGTTTGGATTGCTTTCCATGACCACTTGTATTTTCGACTTTAGAAAGCATAACATCAGACACTGACGTAGTGGGAGCAGAGTATTCATTATTGACATCTTCATATGTAATACATAAATCTTTAGCAGTTTGAAAAGTACAAGAAGGAATCTGAATTAACTCTTTCTCTAACTTAGGAATATTGATTCCAGCAATTAGACGATCACGTAGTTGAGTATGCAGCTGATCTCCAAAGTTACACTTTGAGGCTTGAATTTGAAGTTGAAGAATAAAGTCTCGAATCTTCTGGTTGGGAGCACGAACCAGTTTGTTGAAGTGAGCCCTCTCTCTGGTCTCAAAAGTAGTTATATGGAAGTGATCTATAAGAAGTTCACGGAGCTTAGCATATGGCAGAGAAATGGGTTTATCTGGAAACGCCAGATTCTTCACTAGGCTATACGCATCTGGTCCAATAGTAGTAATGAAATGTGCTGGTATTTTGTCATCCCGAACATTCTTTGAAATGCACCACGCATCGAAGCATTCCAAATAATCAGCAATCTCCCGCGGAGTAGCATTTATAGGAAGTTTTCCCAGGTTATTTAGTTCCATCGCGACGCCAATTTGTAGTAATTTATTGTAGTCGGAATATTAGTATTTCGAGATGACCGAATTACACGAATCCAAACAAAACACAGAGAGGGCAGAATCAGGAATTTGTATTTAGCGGAATTATTATGCAATTCATATATGAAACATATCAACAGTCAACAGTAAGTATTTAAACAATACAGAGATAGAAATTGTCAATCACCACAGTTACTCACTATACGGATCAGAAACTTGGCCAACGCGTCATAAAGAGCATCTCAAACAAGCTACAGACTTTCATTAACAGTTGTGTTCGCTCAATACTACTCAAGATCAGATGGCCGGCCAGAGAAGATCAGCAACAGGGATCTGTTTTGTCTTCGCTGGCATTCTTCTTTACTCTTTTGTTCAGTGTAATGTAGCTTGCACTCAGCTCCTGTTTTGTTGCTCGTCGGTGCACTAAATAATCTTTTGTTTCACTGTCCTTCTCTCTTCTATTAGTTTACAGGTGCCCGTAGTGAGCCACTGTTTGTCCTGTGTCTTTTTTGTGCCTAGAACTTCCATGCAGGTTTGACTCCACACCGTTTTCAATTTGTTCCAGTGCTTTTCGACGCCGACCTCTTCGCTAATGTTGATTTGTGTCTCGGCTTTGTCCTTTATGCTTGCAGTGAAGATGTCCTTTGTATGTTGGTCCTTCAGTTTTTGAGTGTTGAACTTGCCTTGTGGTCTATCTGCAACTCTTGTTTCCCTGAAAGCTTTTAATTTGACTTGGATTGTCCCTTGTACGAGATAGTGGTCTGAGCCAACGTCTGCTCCTCTTCTTACTTTTGTGTCCAGTAGGCGCCTCCACTTCCTTGAGCAGCATTGAGATGAAGTTAATTTGGTATTTTGTTTGCCCATCTGGTGACACCCATGTAGCCTTGTGTATATCTTTGTGTTTGTATACGTTGCGACCAATCACTAGTTCGTTGAAGGTTGGTTACAAAGTAAACCTAAATGTCTACTCAACATTGTTTCTAAGGTCTGTTTTTGTTAATACTGTGAGTTACAAAGGGAAAAGGTAGCGACAGGTCAGGATAAGGCATATTATGACTCAGTATTTACGTGACTTGTAAGCTAAACATATGACCCTAACGTAGATTTAGAGGCAATAAATGAGAATTTTATTGGTGCGTACTAACTAGTCAAAACATAGTTCTCAAATCTTAAACTAGTTATTTATTGGTTATGTGAAATAACTGTTGAAGATGGGATTTGTTTTTGTTTAACAGATTAGTGACCACTAGATTAAAAGTAAATCAAGAACTGGATATCTACCAAGTTATATTTGTTCTGTCAATGCTTCTTCAATGGCATTTCTTAAATACAGATCGGATGAAAATAATCAACAAATACAATGATAAATGTTTGTTTGCATCTTCAACACAATATTGTCATTGTATCTCATCTCTTCAAAACTTCAATTCATAAAATGACCACCATTTGGTTTCCTTGAATATCCAGCATTAGTCTCTTGTGAATGATGACCACCTGAAGGCATAAAAAATTAAGTAAATGTCAGTTAATAGATGATTATGATTTCTATTTGGAAAATATTTCTAAATTACCGATAATATTGAATTTATCACTTAATACATACACTACGGGATCGTTTAAATTACAAGACGTATGCACATTATCACACTAGTATCTAGCTTTCTATAAAACATTATCCATGCGTCAATACAAGTTGGTCCAGTAAGTTCTATAAACCAAAGTACTGAAAAATAACAAAGTACGCTGATGGAACTGAAGCATGAGTGCACATTGATAAACACTTAGGAGCAGAACAAGGCAGCTACCTGGACTTCAGTGGCACTTTAAGTAGTATCGGTCCTTGTCGACATCTACCTTAATATGGAGATCGTTATGTTAGTAAAAGAGATAAAACAAATTTCTGATTTGGATATCTGGAGTGATACCACCTTCCACAGCAGTAGTAGATACTTTAATAATTCCCATTACAACGTTAAGAACACTATATTCAGCGAAAAGACTCTTTTAAACGAGTTTATTATCAAGCTATATATATAATTTTTGGGAAACTGTATCTCTTAAGGAAATTCATACAGAAGGTATGAATACTTGTAATAATAATGGGAAATGTAATAAAATGCTTGTGATTACAGTCACAAGTGATCTGAAGCCATAAAACAAATAATGTTGTGTATAAAATAGTTCACAAATGCATGGATCTTAAATGAGGATGTAAACTTAATGGAATTACTAGGCAAATATAATATCAGATAACATGATGACAAGTGTGGCAAGACAGATTTTCTTCAGGTTTTGCCACAAACTGATATCAGCCAAAGAGAACCACTGAATAGCAGGGAGTGCTGGACAGCTGCTTCACTCTAGTTTCGAACTCATCAGCGGAACAAACACACCGGGGTTCTAACGCAGGACCATCTGATTACGAGGAAAGCTCGCAGACCATTCAGCTACTGGGCCCAACTCATTGGCCCATGAATCCTAGCTTCTACCAATTCATGATTTCAACCCGACTACCAGCCAGTGTTGTCGGCGAGTATTTATTCTCACTTTTGACCGGTTGAACCCCAGTGGTCATGGCTTTTCACTAGATTTCTAGACAACTCCCACCTGTAGCCAGTCATCAGCGAGCATCTAACTGATATCAGTCCGTTGTCAAACTTGAAACAGATCAAATATGTATAAATCAACTCTTGGGGATAGATTTTAACATTCCGAAAATATATTAATTTAAAATAATGAATAGGACAAGTGAAAGAATACTGGTAGCTGCTCAAAGTGAGGATGAAAGCTATACCAACAAAAGAAAGGTACATAGGTTAAATAAACAAAACGATCAATAAATAAATAAATGATTACCTCTCTACAGCCAAGGTGAGGATGGAGACAGTGTGTACATCTTTTTGCACAAATGAATGGCTTAAGTTCATGAATAGCCAAGGCTTTCTTTAAAATTTTGTAGCATAGAAAACTCGATAATTTGGCATGAATTCAATAGATAATCCCTAAGTCATGGCCAGGGTTGGTTAAATGACAGAAATCAATAAAGCATCCTAGAATAGATCCTCTTTCTCAAACGCCTGCCTTCTTTCTTGTGAAATTATTATTATTTTTTTAAATGCTGGAATGTACTGTCGTATCCGTGTTTAAAGCATTCTATGGCTACGGCTGATGCATCTTGCTCTACAAGAGCAGGTAAAGTGACAGATGCACATGGAGATGGCCTGGCAAGGGAGACTATCTTTAACAATAAAGACGAACAAATTCATGTTAGTCATGGTCAACTGGAGTTTCACTGCAAAGGATGCCTTACTGACTAATTTAGAAAGGCAATTTCTGAGCATATCTAAAGCATGATTATCTTTGAATTGTAGATTCATGAAGATAGTTGGCTTTTGCACTGAGTTGGTAGCCAGCTGAGAATACTCCCCTATAGTGTTTTTTTATCAGTAAATTGGTTAGGGCAATCATTTTTATCAGGTGTGGCTTTTAGAGAAGAATGTTCCGCCTCAACACGATCAGAAATGCAAATCTTTCTTATCCTATAACAGATTAAATGAATCTGTTTTATTTTCCCGGAAACAGAAATTAGTTAGTAAATGAATCTTTTAAGAGATCCAACATTACGCCTAGTGAGGAACACCTCACAAACAAAAATACCTAGTTCGAATTCATTTTTTGTCGTAAATTGTAAGAATGGGTAACTATCTCTGAACGGTAGTAAAATATCATCAAATGCTGTGTTCTTATTGAAAGATTTTAAACGTGTCGTCTACATGTCTTCCGAAAATATCAAAGGGACCATTAGTTTCAATAGGCTGAGTGTTCTCAAGCTTTGACATAGGACAATCAGCCAGAAGTGAACCTAGTGGTGATCCCATCGCAGAACCATCCTTCTGTCTGTATACCTTACTACTGAAGCTAAACTGAACAGTGAGCATTCATCTAAATAAGACTATTTATTTGCAGGTATGCCATATTGATGGCCACCGAAACATACAAAATGGAGGTCACAAGCTTCACGTCGGCTGCCTCCAGCCGCACTGAGTACAGTGGGATTTTATTTTGTCATAATAAAAATGTGACTCACAAAATTTCATATCCTTCTTATTCCCTGTTACTTGACTTTGTTTCATTGCTTTGTCATTACAATATCACATTTAAATATTTTATTTTTGACAATAATGGATCATTCCTTTTGTTTCTCATCCTATTTCCTTTGACCTGACAAACTCACTTATTCACGTTCTTTATTTGTGAATATACCTAATCTTTTAATAAAATTGGCGATATCACCTGCTTGATTAAATCTCCTGTGCTTTGTATTAACGTTTAGTCATTCATATTTTTAGCTGGTATGTGATATCTCGACCAACAGTATCGTAAGTAAATATTTCCATTCATTCACACTTAGTCTTATAAAGATTTTGTCATAAACAGACATCAGTTAGAGATTCGTTAAAAGCCAACGAGAACTAGACAGCTGTTATGAACTAGTTTGGGATTGTTCAACATTGTACACCTTCGAAATTGTTAGGAGTCGGAAGCACGACCTTTAGATTTTCATGTGATACAAAGAAAAACGACCACTTCGACATATCACTTACGTTGACCTGTAAAATAAATCTTGTTAACAGGAATAATATTTTTTTGGTAAAGTTCTACAATAGCGTCTCAAGGGATGAGAGCGCACCAGTGACCTTCAACCAACCAGTCATAAAAATGAGGAAATTTTGCACAAAAAATGACGTATATTCACAAGAAAATGCATGAAAACATATTAAAAAGATTATCTTTCTCTGACATAACTTAAAAATACGTCCCAATTATGATGAAGAGCATCACTTGCTAAGTTGGACTAGTTTCTATAGATGTATTCACCGAGCTGACTGAAGATGAACTGTTTTTGTGAACCGTTCATCTCTCTCATCCTGTTGTGCAGTCTTCTCCAAAAGCCCTTGGTTGAATTACTATGGTTTCCAGTGAGAGGATTGACGACTACTTACCAGGAAAATTTGGATAAGAGAACAAATTGAAATAAATGACATCAACTCTAAATCTAAACCTAGTCGTAACTTTAACCTTAATCCTGACCCTAGTAACAATCCTTTTCCTGCCGTAAACCTAACCCTAATCCCAATTATGACCATAACCCTGACCTTAACCCCAATAATTAACTTAACCCTTATCCTAACCCTAACGAGATATTAAAAAATTGTCCAAACAGCAATTAAAAGCGTTATCTGGGTGAAACTTGCTCCTTATTTGATGAATGGCGTTGATATTTCAGCTATGATAATAATGGGTGCCGTTAGCCAACGACTAGCCTGCGTTCAAGGTCATTGAAGCGTTCGCACTCCTGGGACGCTATAGTTGAACTTCGCCGTTTTTTTAATTTTCTGATCAATCTTAGTCTACCATATATGTTTATATATTTATGCTCCTGTGGAGAACGTATTTTTAATAACTAAATTAAGTCTTTCAGTAGTTCTTAGGTAACCTATATTGTGGACTTGCAAACTTTTAGGGCTCCTGTAAGACTTCGTTTCTCGCTTGGCCAGCTAATCAGTCATATTGGTCTTCCTAACACTGGCTAATCCACATGGTAAAGAGCCAGTTATTTGATTACTGGTATAGACTGAAAGTAAATGGCATGCTTCGAAGTGATTCAAAAGACAGGGTTACGAGTGAACTAGTATTTGGATATACCTATTGCAATGAATCTGAATAGCCTAGCAGTATGTGGTTTATCTTCAGTCCTTTTAATTCAATAGTTTATTTTAAATGAGAATGATAACTAGGAAGAAAATGTTGGTGTTGGGATGGATAGGGTCAGCGATTTTCAGCTTACTGACCTGCATATCACTCATCACTTTATTATTAATAATATCAGACTGGTTCTCTTATTTCAAGTATGAAGTAGTTTTAAACTGCTGGGATATCAACATGCTGATGAAATTATAACACAGGGATACGTTAACACTTTATCAAAATAAAAGTCAGTCAGCCAGCTCTTCCATAATCACCCAAAGTGTAAATGGTTAAACATGTCCTGAACGCATGGGTTTGGTTCACATTCAGATTTATGAATCTGTTTGTGTTAATTTATAGCGTCAGCTATGTGCTAACTTCACACGTCATTCATTTATAAACTTCAACGTAGTTGCAGTAAAATACTTAGGATGAATTTAAGTAAGATCACAGATGTGGTTATGTAACTGCTATTTTAAAAATTAGAGTTTAATATAGTCAGCCATGTTTAAATCCATTATGGAAAAGATTTCATTGTGATAAATCACACAGTGTTGTACAGTAATATTAACTGGTGATGTTTCGAGCACTAACTATTGGTTATAATCATATCAAGTAACTCACACAACTTTTTTCTTTGATTTGTATGCATGTGTGGAATCCATTAGATATTGGATTAAAAATCAATGTGAGATAATGTACAAGAAAAGACCTAAATGACAACATAAGACGGATAGAAGAGGCGT